AACTCAGATAAATATCAGATCAATTTGTCATGAGATATGTCACCATAAAACAAAACGGAACCCCAAGTACTGGATTAATCTTAATTTATTCCCCAAGTATTGGATTTCCCATGGGGAAATAAAGAATCATCAGCCATTAGCAAATCCAGGTACCCTCTGGTAAACTAACATATAGTTCATTGAAACTGGCCATAGATTCGTAATTGATTTACCCAGCTATAAAAAGGTTAATTTCCATCGGATTTTGTATGTTTACTAGAGGGGTAACTTCCATTATATCCCCATTAGATCCCTATAAAAATGCCGAGAAATCCCTATAAATCCCCATGGTATCCCTATGAATCCCTACAAAACCCTATAAGCTATGAATCTTCAGCAAATCCAGTCAGTCACCATGTCATCCCAGAAGCTTCCCCAGACGCATGCGCTGCATCACCCATGAACCCACAGTCTGCACCACCTCCATAGGCGTGTTGAAGGATGGGGGATGGATATCATTCAAACATCATATATAGGGAAATGACCTACAAAAACCATGGGATGGGAATAAGATTTTCATGAACTTTTATTAACCATCATGGCATTTTAGTTCTTTTTTGGGACTTTCATGGGATGTCTTATGGGATAGTTTATGAGGATATCATAGGATATAAAACCTGGGTGTCTCTGAAAATAATGTTTTTGAATGGTGGCATAAAATGGTGTAAACCAACAATTTTGATGATAACATTTTATGATAAAATGGGTTACGACGGAAGAACAACACGCCACGCAGGATCTGATGTCTAGGTCTGTCTTTGTTGAAACAAAGCCATCGGAGATGGTCATCCCACAATGAGAATCCTCATGGCTATGGTCATCCTAACCTGAATCTGGGTAAATTATCATATTTCACTAACCTGAATCTTGTGGCAATTTGGGGATGATTTCCCTTACTAACCATGATTCCAGTGAGGAAGAACAATGAGGTCGTGATCAAATTTACCCACATGAATGGACTGATGACCATGCCCAATCTTGGCAATTATTAACCTACATATAAGTTTTGATCACGGCGCACACAACAGGGGCTAATTCCATTGGAGGCTTAAACGGCTTAAAGCTTGTGGATCAACTTAGATGCACATGCATCTACTTGGATTTGCTTTCCACTAGATTCCCTAAGATTGAGGATTGACCAGTGGGAAAAATTCAAATGTCAAATAGGTGTGGCTCTAAATTTGTGGATCAGGTTTGATCGTGTGTAAAATCATCAAATCTGTGGGCAGATTTTCGTACCCCAGTTTTGATACCCACATTGTGTAAGTGGTGGATCAGGGTGAAATTCCTCACTTCTTGGATACAAGTGATACAAGTACTATCTACTAATGGAGTCACCTTAGGGATAGAGTGGAATAATAATTAGAACCATCCATGAGGGCAATCTTCAACAGATCCTGACATGAAATGAAGATCGGGAAGAAAAGGAAGCGGTTGATTAATAGACTTGAGGATTGATCGAGATAGTAATACTGTACGACCATGGTAAATCTATGTTTGATTCAAGTGCCAATGATAATTTGAAGATGATCATCGGATCCCAGTACTCAGTATGTTCACGTTCACGTGAAGCGATCCGGGCCTCATCCGCCAGGGGGCCGCGGGTGATCTGCATGAAGGGCAGACCCGTGAAGACCGGCAAGGCCTGCCGCTGATCAACTTTCGATGGGGAGTGCAAGAGGATGCTCCCCCAATCTCACCAGAAATTGCTGGTGTAAAGTTGTGTAAAGCATCAAAATATGGATGGTTTTACTACTGCTTTACTAACATTAATAGGGATTTGAATTGTCAAAATGTGTTGATAAAGCAAGCTGTGAAAGAGCCATGAAAGATACCCCCTATGCCGTCGCATTCGACTGCTTGGTCAATAGGTATACCTATCATGGCTTATCATAATCCCCTACAGATTCGGTAGCAGAAGCCCCAACAACAACAACAACAACAGCAACAACAACAACAACAAATTAGCAATTGTATGTTTCATTTTTTGTAATGGCTCAGGTCAGGATATAATTAAGTCAACAACTTAGGGCTATAAATCGCAAACGAGGGGCAAAACCAATGATGATGTTGGTGGATCAAAACTTAAAAGACTAAGTACAACATTGTTGTTGTTGTTGTTGTTGTTGTTGTTGCTGTTTTCAATTGTAAAGAATATCATCGTTGATATTTTTGGAGATGAAACAACGCAACATGATCAGTTGTTTGGGAGTGATTTTTGGATGTCCCCCATCCTATGGGATCCTGGCGTGCAACCATTGAGAGATATACCACCAGCAAGTATAGTTGAAAATAAACTATGTTCATATCACCATAGGATATAATAATAGTGTGTATAGATATATACATATATATATATATGGATATATATATATATACAAATATGTATATATATATACATGTGGTATTCAATGGTATTCATATCACCGGCAAACTGTAGGTTGGCCATCAGGGCTGTGGGTTGCCCAAAAATGCTTGTCCCAACGAGGGCAATGGTGAAACCAGGACTCTCCATGCGATTTGTGTCTTCAAAGCGGTGCTAATGTTAGTTTACTACTGGATATTAGCGGCAACCTATTTTCAGAAAAAAACCCGCAATAATAGATTATGCCCGAATTCCAGAACAAATCTATAATTCTATCTCTGAAATCATCAAATATATGATCCACACTCCAATATCAAGCGAAAAAGATCAGATTACCATAGATTACCAAACATCTACAGATAAGATTAGCATAGATTACCATAGATTACCATGGATTACCATGGATTACCATGGATTACCATGGATTACCATAGATTACCATAGCCAAAGCTCAGCTCAGCCAATCCCACCTGCGAGCGATTCGGCCGGAAGATGTATGCACCACTTTGTTGGGAGCTCTCATTGTTCCCCACCGAGCCCTGGCTGCTCCATCGAACATCTGTAAGGATCTGGTGGCTCCATAAACCCAGTAGCTGATTTACGGTATAGGCTCCATTAAAAAAAAACTGATTTATATCAAGGTATATCAAGTTATATCAAGTTATATCAATTTATATCATGTTATATCAAGTTATATCCCCATAAACATCTATAAACCCTAGTAAAGCGAGTTACAGTCTCAACCAACTTCGCTTTCTCCAGGAGGCCTCCAGCTTGTGAGACTTCGAAACGATGTTGCCATGTTCATCACACAAACTTAGGGCGGTTGCATGTCACGTGATTCCAACAATCCTCAAGGTGACAATGAGGATGAGAATGATGGATGAATGATGGATGAATGATGGTGATGATAATAGATAAATCATGGTAAGGATAATGTTGATGATGTTGATGACGACTATTATATATATATATCATTGAGATGACAGCGTCTATATAGCATTGTGGCTACACAAACGCTCCCATGATATATATTATTTTCAGGCGAACCGGCCTCGGGGTTGACGACTTCACCCCCCAAAAAAAGCACCTCGTACCAAAACCAGTTCTGCTCTGCTTGGGTGGAGATCTTGTTCACTTTGTCCTCAATCTTAGAGAGCATGCCTGGCCAGCACCCAGCCACCAATGCCAGGATCGAAAAACTTAAAAACTGCCATCATTTTGATTGGCGAGATATACACACGTATAGTTATTTAGTATCATTTAGTTTATATAATTAATAATGTATATAATTTATATATATGTATATGTATTTAATTGTATGTATAATTATATATATATATACATACATATAAACATGCAGGTGTCTCCCACCACTAAGAAAGGTCACTGGGTACTTCTGAGCACCGCTTTGTTTCTGAATGATGGTTTGGACACATCCCGGGATCACGGGGTCCCCGTCTTTTCAGGATGTTGATCTCCTAGTAGGATCGAACACTCGGAGGTCCAACCAGTTTTGGTTGGCGTTTCACTTACATGTCTCACAAAAAAAAAAAACATGCGAGACCGCTTAAATGGTTGTGTATGAAAAGATCGTTTGCCCCAAAAAATCCCATGGTGCTTGATTTATCTTGATTTATGATCATGGTCCACATGAAAGTTGCCATTTTCTTGGTGAAAAATGCCAACAAAAATGTGACCCAATCAATGGTATGTGCTGGGCCGACTCCCTCGACTCCGCCTCCTTGGAATTGCAGGGAGAGATAGTCGTTCTCCAAGACCTCCACGGGGGAATACCCGGCCTGGTGAACGTTTACATTTTGCTATGGAAAATCACCATTTTTGATGGGAAAATCACCATTTTTTATGGGAAAATCCACTATTTCAATGGCCATTTTCCATAGCTTTTTGTTAGTTCACCAGAGGGTACATGGGAATACCCTAAGGCAACGCGGATGACAGGGCTATCGGCGATCGTAACCCCATTATGAGTTTTTCACATATCGCATCTCAAGAGAGGCCCCAGATTTTCACCCCATTTTTACGTCAGGACAGGTGTGTCTGAAAATAGGCTAAACCCCTAAACCCAATGGTTTTGCTGATCAAAATCCCTATGAAAAATGGCTATTTCATTGGGAAGATTAACCCTATTTTCAGACAAACCCAGGTGAACATCTCATCTCTTGAGGGTATGTACCCTCTGGTTATGACTAACAGTTTCCTATTGAAAATGGCCATAGAAATAGTTGATTTACCCAGCTATAAAATGGTGATTTTCCATAGTTAAGTTAGTTGACCAGAGGGTAGTATGTATAACCCATTATAGTCCTATGGGCTGCATTGAGTGGCTACCTCAATCATAGCCCATCAAAACCATCGCTTGGATGGGAGCAAATCTTTCACCAAATTTAAGTGGGGGGTATTCATTGCACAACAACCCTACAATATAGAAATAAAAACTGAAATACTGAAATAGTAATATTCTATCTTTGGGGGTTATATACTATAACACATGTTATTTGGACTTATTTGGTTTCACCATGTTATTCCCCACGGAAACGAGGCCTTTCGGAATTTCTGATCCCGTAACATTTACTGCCTCCACTCCACCGGTGACATTCTCGATTGCTGGGATTGGCAAGGCACTACCTCAGGAAACCGACTGGCGGCGGCCGTGAAACTCGGAAATAACCATATTCAAAAGAGGGACTTCCCCAACAAATGTCGGAATTATATTACTGGTTGGTGGTATACCCCTCTGAAAAATGATGGAGTTCGCCAATTGGGGTGTCCGGGGGGTAACTTGCCCCAAAATCTATGAACTTACCCCACCGCATGGCACACCGCTTACCCCACGACCCCAAGAACTTACGCCATGTGCAAATCACCATGGCACACCGGCCCTCACGGACAGGTTTTTGGATTGGTTTGTTATTTTCCTAAGGGATTTGCTACATTTTACATCAGTTCGTGAATTCTTTGACCTCACCCCAAATGTCAAGGAACGCATGGCACACCTACAAATTGTTTTCTATCAACCCAAGTTCTCAGATGTAATTCCCATTGTCGGAAAAACATATTTAATCTCTCTAAGAATGTAATCCATGATGGTTTTCCCCATTGGCACACCGAGTACATCCAAGTACTCAGGTAACGGTTTTCTTTTCTGCAGCCGATCACTTTGCCGATCCATGTATGTGCACATTGTATTGGCACACCATCAACTTGACCTCTAGAAGACCAGGAGTTCTACATGTCATTCTCATTGCGTTATTTTTACGAGATCCTTACGAGGTCTTTACGAGATCTGTACGAGATCTGGATTTTGCAAGGCAAGGCAGCAGGGCAAGGCAGCAGGGATCTTTTCTACTCTTCCCTTCTCTGCTCTAGGCCTCTCTAATCACTTCTACTCTTCAATTCGATTCTCTTCTCTACTCTTCTGTATATAGTCTCTTCTACTCTACTCTTCTCTTCTACTGTTCTCTCTTCTGTGCGAGTCAAGCTATTGAGAAGCCATCCCCATGAGTTTCTATCTCAAGAAGAATATGTCTCAAAAACATGTGTGCCCCTGTAAAGTGTTAGAAAAATCAATGCCACAAACAATTGATTCATCCAGCAAGAATGACATGTTTATCATGGACTTCCCAACGGCACACCGTTTGCGGCACAAGAAGATGACCGTGGCATAAGTTACCACTTTGACCCAGTACTATTCCCAAGATATGGAAAGTCATAATCCAGCCATGTTCCAAACCACCAAGCAGTGGGATTTCATACGATTTCTGTGGGATTTCATTGGATTGAACTGATGAAACTTCGGCAATAAACACGGCCACAGAATAAGGGTCCCAGGGGCGCTGCAAGGCGCTTTCCAGGAGCCCCCACCTGTCTCCTGCAGGCAGAAACCTCCGAAGCCCAAGGCTGGAAGCGTCAGCTGCGCCAGCAGCGTCAGGGAAGCACCACCTGACGGTGGCGAAACTGGCACCGACTTCACCAAGAAATGGTCCACCTGATGGTTTATGGTTTATGGTACCCTCTGGTAAACTAACATAACTATGGAAAATCACCATTTTTAATGGGAAAACTCACTATAAATGGTCATTTTCAATAGCTATGTTAAATTACCAGAGGGTACTTATTATACCATAGTTAACCAACTAACATTAACTTACTGGGGCTTTTCTGGTTAACAATAACTATAGTTACAATAACTATATGGTTTATGGTACGCAAATAACTATAGTTACTGGGGCTTATCAACCAACAAACATCACTGGGGGGCCTCACCAATGGCTGATGGTTTGGGTGGTTGAATCACAAAGATCATTGGCCCATTGTCGCTGCTGCTGCTGCTGTGGCTGCGGGTTCTCTGGAAAATAGGATAATGATGGATAATGTGGGTAAATCAATCATAAACCATCCCCCAAATCACCATTTTTATAGGCAGTATAATGAACCATTCCCAGTCATGGGTGGTTTATGGCATTGTTTTACCCACATTATCAATCATTATTAGAACCATATATAACTATAGGTTATTATTATTGACCATTATTAACCATAGATTCACCATATATCAACCAATATCCGATGGTCTATCCTTGGTTCCTCAACATTGCCATTTTAGGGTACCCCCCCATGAGACGAACCTATCTGGTTCTGCGTTCAAACTTTCGTCTGCCCTTTCCCAGGTTTCCTATCGATTTGGATACAGTACATATATTCACTTACCTGACACCGGTTTGAAGACATGTTCTGATTATTTCCATCATGATTTCCATCAAATACAACCGGTGTCTTTTTTTGGGCTGGTCTCATGTTTAAAATCCCACGATTTTGGACATGATGGACATGAAGCACTTGGACAATATGACATTGCTCATATATTGACCGAAACGCCTGGTGCGTTGTCTAACCCGGCGTGCCGGAAAGTCCTTGATTAGTGGATGATAAACATACATATAATTACATATATATATATTATATAATTATTATATAAACATATTTTTTTTGTTCATTGCCATGTTTATCAGATCAAAACCAATGGAGATGAAACCATCCAAAGGAGGATTCACCGCATGGATCCAAGCCATCATTGCCAGCCATGGATCCATGGCTGGTCAAGTGACCCCACCATAATTGGGTTACCGCCATGGGAGGCTTATCTCTTTACATCCCAACAAGAATTTGACAAACCCCCGGTGTTGTTAGTTCACCAGTTTTGAAGTTTGTAGCCATTGATGCACTTGATGTTCCATATGAATTTATCCCGTACTAACATGTACTAACCAGTGGTTTTCTTAAGTTGAACCCCTTGAAAAAAGCATTGATAGATTATGATTATACCCATCTGGCCAGCCATTTTTTTGGTGGTTTGTTACCTGCGGGACGGCCGTAGTTCGTCACCGAGGGAAGAGAGCGCGCCAGCTGTACAGGAACCGCCTGGCGACACCCGTGGGGATTGGGGGTGGTAACCATTATAGCTGGTTGGTGGTGTCAACCTACCCCTCTGAAAAATGATGGAGTTCGTCAGTTGGGATGATTACATTCCCAATAGATGGAAAAAAAATCATGTTCCAAACCACCAACCAGATAGTTTATCCATGTTTATCCCATGATCCCGTACTATATCCACCAGAATCCCACCATATACTCTTAACATCAAGATCGCATTAAAAGCATGAAATAGGCCTATAGATTCCCGTTCTAATTGGGTTTACCACATTCAGTATCTCAAAAAGGGTACACCTATGTAACATTATGTCAATGTAACCACAGCTAACCAAGAACCATGGCCACGATCGAGCACGATGCAGCACTAAAACCCCAAATGTCGTCCCTTTACATTGTGGGTGGATTTGCCAGCTTATGGATTGTGTTTATTGATTAGTTGATTGCTTGATTCGTTGGTTGATTGATTGACTAATTTATTGATGTAATTTAAGAAAGCGATGCTGCCGCAAGGTTACCACGGTATCCTCTCGTGTATTTGCCCTCAGTCACGTTGATCTAAAATGATCTAAAATCTACATGGGAATGGGTTGCAAAGCGAGAATCAGCTTGCTTGTTACATGAATGCAAATCTGAAATCGCATACTGAAAGTTGCGGCGATTGCATACTGGAAATCCGCTGACAGCCTGGTTTGGGCTGGAGCCGCTAACATTGCTCACTGACTCATCAAAATCTGCAGGAATATCCCAGTGCTTGTTCTTGCCGTGTGAACAACGACAGGATCCACCTAAAACCATCTGCGCGTGCAAGATTTCATGGATTGTGATCCATATAATCCGACATAATTGGAACTCATAATCCGACATAATTGGAACTCATCTTACAATTTAAAACCCCACGTGTGTTTTTTTTAATACACGGAATATCCCAAGCTATGCAAATTTTCGTGCTGGTTACAGTATAAATATGTATAAATATTGTGGTTTTTTAATCACTTGCTGCCATGCCCATCCAAGTGAGGGGCAAATTTTACTACTTGGTTTTGTCTGAAAATAGTGTGCTCGAAGATTTGATGGTTAATCACTTGTGGAATTTGGGGGTTCAAATAGAACGCCCAAGAATTTCACCAGTTGAGGCTTCGAACATCTTGGGGATAACTACTAGAATGTGTTGGGGCAAATAAGCCACAAAAATGGGAGAATGGTGCAGAGATTAGAAAAACAAATACAGTAGCAAACAACTGTAGGATCATCAGAGATCATCTATCAGCACTTGGGATTTAGATGGATTTAGTCCACGATTCCATGATGGGTTCCCAACATCGGCCAACCACATAGGATACCCTCTGGTAAACAAACAGTTTGCTATTCAAAATGGCCATAGAAATAGTTGATTTACCCATTGAAAATGGTGATTCTCTATCGTTTTTTGTATGTTTACCAGAGGGTATCATTGGGGGATTCTCAAGTTTCCAGGCCTGCAATATTGGAGGTTTATCATTGGCTTTACCACACTAACCCAGTTACTCAGTTCGATCATCCCTTCTGCAGTTGATTGAACACCTGCAGGAAACCAACCTATTCTTGGAATCTTTTGGGAAGAATTTCTGCACTATGGGAGTTTTCTTTTCTGTTTTAACTACTATGTGAATAATAATCATCAAGTCACATCAAAATTGCAAACGATTACTTAGTATTCAAGCACTTTTTTGTTGCTTCCCCCAGTATATCCCATGATTCAAACTCTTAAATCCCCATATCCCTGGAACCCAGTTGACATGTTGTCAATCATATTCCCATTGTTGCTTCTACCAAACAGATCTAAACAGTACTAAACAGTATGAAAAACTATGTGAAACCACACTTAACCCATGTTCAACCCCGTGTTTCATGGCAGGAAAAAAAACATCTCCCCAGGCCTCTTGGTTGCCAGCCTGTACGACCTCCACCTGTGCAGAGGAAACGGGCAGCTCTACCAACTCCTGGAGGACTGAAAGGGGCGCGAGAAATGGGGGAGATGAAAAGGGGATTCTATGTGTTACAATTTTTTTTGGTGGGATTTTATAGGATTTATGGAATTCTTATCGAAGGAAGTTTAGAAGTCAAACTTCCGACAATATGGACAGATGAAAAGCAGAGCAGGGAAGAGGCAGAGAGAAGAGAAAGATTGGAAGAAAGAAGAGTAGAAGAGAAAGAGTAAGAAGAAAGAAGACGCAGATGCGTGAAAAGGTAGGAAAGTCGCGAAACACTGTGTTTTTCCAATGATTTGGGGCTCCGGCGGGTCGAAAAGTAGGCTCGCTAAGCGGCGGGGGCGGAGCCAGCTGGCAGAGGATGGGTATTGTAACACGGCCGCCGTGTGGCGCGAAGCACTATTTCCCAGACAAAAATCATGTTACCAAACACCCATCTCGGACACTTTTGGAAGTTGAGATGTCGAAAACGTGCACGCCGTTGTGGCTGCGCGAAGCACGGTTTCCAAGTCAAAATGTTA